ATGTGCCGCTCCCGCGTCACTGGCGCGTCACAACACGCCAACCAGCGCCATCTCGCGTGAATAAAAACTATAAACGATATTTCTTTACGCCCCTCTCGCGGATGGTATCGCCCACGACCAGTCAAGCGTGGAAAAACTTTTGCAGGTAAATGGCCGTATTTCAGCTGAATCTTTTTCACTCCTCGAGGCACAAAATGTGAATTTACGCCTATAATACACGCGCACGCGTGCGTTCGACCATACCTGCGTGTGAGCGTCCGTTAGTGTGTGTGTATGTGTGTTTGTGTGACAGTAAAAACGCGTATTATTGCCGTAAAATCATATTCTGTGCTTTGGGGGGGTGAAAAAGTTGAGAATGAAAACCGGCATTTTGGCTGCCTAACTTTTCACCGTGCACCTGATGCCGTGGGCGATACTATTCGCGAGAGGGGGAGGGAAATACTGAGGGGAACGGAGTGAGAGGGGAAGAGGAATGAAAGAGGAGAGAAAGGGGAGAGGGATTGAAGGAGGGAAGAATGCAGACGGAGATATGCACACGCATGCGCAGTCACACGCGCAGACAAACGCACGTACGGCATTAACGGCACACACACACAGGCACGGATGCACATATTCCTTCTAATATAGTTACTTCTCTCGCCTACCATCTCTCTCTCCATGACTCTCACCCCCTCTCTCTCTCTCTCTTTCTCTCTTTCTCTGTCGCTCTCTCGCAACATTTTTCTATACGTACGTGCGCACGCACGCACGGACACACACATATAAATATAGTAATAATATCATATATATTAGTATAATATACACACACACACACATACACAAACGCACGCACACACACTCTCTCTCCCCGTTTGTTCCTCCTCTCTCTCTCGCAATATTTCTCTTACGCCCGACACACACAACTCGCCACACACACCCCGCGCGACATACAGCATTACACACACACTCGCACGCATACACCGCACGCGCACACACACCGCAAACACTGAACATTATTTTAAAAAAACTCGTAAGATTTTTATTTCGTTTCATACTGTGAACTGATCTCATTTTTAATTACAGCAGCTTATTAACAGGGCATATAACCGGAAAACATGACCTATGTACCTCTCTCTCTATCTACGACCTTGTCATCGTCTTACACACAACCTCTATGTCTATAAGGCGCTTGTGTACACGCATGGGTCGTACGCACACGCACGGACACTCTATATTGACACGGTTTATTAACTAACGCTGCAAGGTGTAGGTAGGTAGAGACAGTGGCACGCACGCACGCACGCACGCCACGGCACGCACGCGACGCACACCAAACAACACTAGCATAACACTCGCGCTCACTCCCCACTATCACAACGCCACACACGCACGCACGCACACACACACTTGCGCTCACTCCCACAACACGCAACGCACCAACGCACGCACGCACGCTACCACGACAACACACACTCGCGCTCACTCCACATCACACCACGGACGACACGCAACGGCACGCACGCACGCACACAAACACCACACACAAGTCATGGTACTAGCCACACGTCGGCCGCGGTACATTACACGATTCTACAAAATCGGTTTCTCTATTTTCTGCAATTATTACTATTTTCTGAAAGATCAGAATTCACATGATCGTACGCATGGAAGACACCCTACATCATGTCAATTGCTACATCTGCTTCACACTACCGCGAGTCAGGCATGTTCCGCCGAACGAGCGGGACAATGCATGCTACTAAACCTTGGAACGGCATGTGCACATGTTTGTTCATTGTGAGCATAGTGTCGTGTAGCAGTGCGTTCGTTGCGTGCGCGCGGCTTGTGCGTGGATAAAACATACAGACGATTGGAATAGGATACAGACGTATAGCTCCTCGTACACAGAGATACATCTAACATGGCGACGCGTCAAAACAAATCGGCTGTGTCCCTTCCTTCCCTCACCTCGCCTGCCCCTGCCCCTTCCCTCCCATGCCCTGCCACCATAGATACGATAATGTATCCTGGTTGCAGGACCAGTAATCTGTATCTATGATGCTCAACTGTTTCACTGTCGCGCGCCACGAGAGGGCGTTGTTTGTTCGCAGCTTCCCTTTCCCTAGCTGCCCCCTAGCGGCCGATCGACGCACCTGTCCTTATTGCTAGATGTTAAGAACACACCGTTAAACATAACGTCATAACTAAGAGAGAGAGAGCGCGCGCGCTTACACGCGCGCACGTGCACCCAGCAAGACGGAACAAACAAACAGACGCACACGCGTACGCACGCACACACGCACGCGCACAGACAGCACAAACACTGTATGCTGCACAAATAAATGTGTGACCAACGATCTGTCTGAGCGATAAAACTGCTCCGCCCGTGAACGCTGTTGCTGTTGCTATGCGCATCAAGCCTGACAAGTTTACACCTGTGTTTGGCTAGAGCGGCGTGTCGATCACATAAGGCAGATCGGTCGATTGGGAGTAGAGAGCAGAGTAAGTTGTCCAGCCCCCCCCCCCCACACACACACCACGACAACATCTCTATCGAGTGCCGATGGCGCTACGGAAATAACAACATGGCCCCGTTGTCTCGCTCATACCACCAACTTGTATACTCACACGCACGTACACGCGCACGCACACGCACGCACATACATACATATATGACATACATGTTTTTGTTATGTATGTTCTATTATATTGCACTATCTATATAGAGTATATGGAGAGCTAGTATGCAAGGCACTGGAGCACACGTATATAAAACGCATCGAAATTAACGACTCCAAACATCACACAGAAGCTCAACTTCATAGTGATCTGACCATTACCGAGACACAGCTTAATTGAAACGCCTTTTCATTTGGACCATTTGCAGAAATTCGGTGGGTTTTGTTTAATTTCCACTTGACTAAAGAGAGTAGTCCTATGATTCGATTGCTTCAGGAGATCCTGATGCATACTCCATCTGGGAGGACAGAGTAAAACACCTTCATGCCACCTCTTGCATCCTGCGATCGGGTTTTAAAATCCCTGTCGATGGTGACGATTGAGGATACTGATCGACTGCTACCAGTGAAGAGCTACATTCCCCGACATTTCAAGGTTTACATCTGTGACCGACGAATTTCTAACGACTGTCTAAGCAGCGTACTAACCCCCCCCCCCCCCAATAACCAAATTCTGGCTATACAGCAACCAGCAACAGTACGCGGGGGGGGGGGGGGGACGTATTGTGGATTTCAAACATAGATATCGAATTTGCCCACCAAACCACAAGGATTGCACACAGGACACGGAATAACACTACTTGCATCGAACGAGCAGAATTGTACGAACGTAGTCGAAACTTGGAAGATGAATATATAAACGATGGCGGAACGAAGAGATCCGTATCTTGACATAAGGGCTGGACACAGATGCGCATTTATGACAGGCTCTGTGTAATAGCAAGGGCTTTCCTACTGTAGAATACGCGTGTGCGTTGCGTGTTTGCATGCGCGCGTGTACACGTGTGTGTGCATAAGAGCACGCGCTTTGTGCGTGTGTGTCTGTGTGTATGCGTGCGCGTGCGTGCGTAAGAGTGTGTGCGTGTTTATGGTTTAATAACACTGAGCTGCATCATGAACGCGTATTCCGCCACTACCAGAGCGTGCATCGATCTATCCGACAGCAACACGCTTACTATAGCAACACACGCACGCACGCACGCACGCACGCACGCACGCACGCACGCACGCACGCACGCACACACGCACGCACACTGCTGTTACTGCATATATACGATATGCACCTGATAAGCGCGTGATCACACAAACATACTAGTTTCGACATAATATTTCCGCAGCTCTACGACCGTCTACCACGCTAGCGTTTATCACACCGCTACTCTGCGCGTCAACACAGATACCACCACTGTCTATGAGCAAGTTTACCACGGGTACCACTAAACACAGGCACGAGCTACGGGTACCACTAAACACCGGCACGTGTACACCTGCCTCTCTCTCTCAAATTACATCCCTTAAGTCTGCAAACCTATTTCGATGATATAACATGTACACCCAAAACTAATAGTATTTCTAAATCATAACTACGTTGAGTTGACTAGTCGCAATTTCATCTGAAATTGGGAAGAGGATAAGTTGGCGAGACTACTAGACAATGCGCTACATGGCGGGGTGTGACAATAACAGGTCACGGTGTGGGTCTGTAGCGGGAAGGCACTCGCGCACACAGTACCGTATCAACGTCGTGCTCACCGCCACCACCACCTCCGCGTCGTTAGCTACGAGCGTCTGCATCGCTCTCAAGGCCGCCCATCCCAGCACCAGTTACACACCGGCTACATAGCACCACCCTCACCCTCCTCCTCCTCCGTGCTGGGGGGGGGAGGGTTGTGTAGCCGCCCCCTACCCGACGCTCTCTCGCCTCCCCCCAAGGCGACGTCCAGCCATCACCTTTCTAGTTCGCGCAAAAGTAGAGCCGCCCTCCCTCCCGGTTTTCCCGTAGAGGGAAAAACGACGGAGGTTGGCTCGCGTGTGATTGGAACAACAGAGAAAATCACAACAGTGTCACGCCGCATGCGTCGTGTCGCCCGAGTGAAAAAATCAACACGAAATCAGATGCTCGCGTGTACGTACGTACGTACGTGTTCTCGTGGCCACGACGACACGAGTGGACTACGATGATACACAATCACGTTCGTAACGAATCACCGCGTAGTATGAAACATCTAATAGTATTAAATTCACCGACCCTATGCAATCTCGTGTTACGAGCGTGTGCTGCACCTTGCCTTCGCACAAACTGTTAGCACAATACCAAGGACTAATGTCGCGAACAGCTAACATATTGCAGTAGCAAGGCAACTCGTCTGACAGATATTCAAACACAAGAGGTGACACAAGAGCATCCGTATGAAGCTGCCGACGTCTGGCGAAGCAATTCGGGAAAATATCTCCATAAATTAATGCAGCCCCCCTCCCTCCCTCCCTCATGCATTGCAGGAGCTTCCCCTCTCCACCGTCTGTCACCACGCATGTGTTAACTAGGAGCAATGTCCACATAGAAACAGCTGCACTAAGATCTCGATAGCCATAGAAATAATACACTAGATAGACTCTGTCTCTATATATATATCTATAGCTATAGCGCGGAACTCTCGATTACACAACCCTTTTCCCCAACATGGTTCTCATCGCAGGAGAGCGACGGATGCTGAATGCTGTCCCCGAAGTTAGAGGAGAGAGAGCCGGACGAATAAATGCAGATTGGACGTCAGTGCTGCGGCAAACGAGAATCTAGATCTAAACACTGGTGCGGAGATGCGCGTACGACGCGAGAACGAATACGTCCAAATCTACGTGCAGCCGGCCCAAAAAACAACAACGGCAGGTCGTGACGGTAAAGCGAAAAGAATCGACAAGTGTTTCACACCCAACATGGTTTGCATTGGAACCGATGATCGAACGCGTCTGGGTCCGTACCGACGAACCGCCCGATAAAAATTTCCTAACGTTCAGAGAAGAAGTGGATCGTGGCGCCCTTTGGTGTCGGTGCTCCGATTTATTCCTCCTTCGTGCCGCGCACCTCCCCTTGCTGCCGTTGCTGCAAGAAGAAGAGAGAATAGTGAGGATGAAGTGGTGCAACACACGGTAACAATGAAAGCATGGAAAGTTACACACTACTACGCGGTGATTTGTTCAGCGAGCTGTCAGCCTGGAACCCCGCGACGACATGGCAACGAATGCATGGAAAGTTACACTACTACTACGCTGCGATTTGTCGTTCGTGGGATTGTTTATCGGTGTATTTACACGTGTTTAGAGGCATTTACGGAGTCGTTAAATCATTGTTAACGAGCGTCGTTGATGTTAGTATGTAGAGCCGTGCAGCGTCTGAGATTGTGAGCAAACTACTAACTATGTCATTGTTAATAATAATTGTGTTCTTAATAGATTTACTTATTGCTACTTGGGGAGTTTTCAAGTCACAAAGTTCAACACAAGTTTTGTAAGAAAAAAAATTAGAACAGTTCTTCAGAGGACAGACAAGCGAAACAAGTAAAGCAAAAGTAGTTGGAACATCAAAGACAGCATGCTAAACGTTTTTCTAAATAGCTCTCGAGAAAAATCAGTCGCGTGCTCATGCAATAATACGTCTCGACATGCGACACACACAGCAGAAAGGTAAAGGTAAACGATATATAAGGGTCAACCTCATTTCTCTGCTTTTGTACCACGCACTTCTCCCGTCAATCGTTGCTGTATGGAAAGAACGTAAATGGAATGGGAGAGACAGTAGCATTGCAACTATACACTTCTATAAACGACTGCGTTGCACAAATAAATGCCGTTCAACATTGCACAAATAAATGGCTTCATTCACTACATCTTCAACTTTGATATAAAAAAATTAAATACTAAATCACTAAAACCAATTACTAAAACTAATGACAATCAACACAATGTCTATAGGGTCAATAAAAATGCAAGACTACTCAACAAACAAATTACACACCTACACAAAAATCTAAATTTTATATGAAATACGTTTTGCGACATGAGATGCCGGTAAGGAGCAGAAGCAGAAGGAGGATACAGAAGCATTGCAGGGAACTTATGAGCGACAGATGCAGAGTGTCATTGCAGGCAAAATACATTGCCCCCACATATATATATAAACCTGAAACAACTATCTGAATGGTTCAAAGGTCCGGCAGACTATGAAGTACATGCAATAAAGAGGCATGATATTAACACCACACCACTTACATTATTCATTTAGAAAATGAAATGAATGTGGCGAACGCTCAAACTGGACTGCCCGCGAGGCTGTGGAGGTGTGATGTTGATGCCATATGATACTACTCACTACTACTTATATTACCTACGAAAACACGAATGACGTGCAAATCCACAACCTTCTACATTACCTCGTCTAGTTCATGTTTTGTCTTATCCTCCAGTACTCTAATATCGTACATCGTTAGTCCAAACCAATTGTCAATCCAACAGAATACTTGTCTGTGAAAGTTGGTGAACAATCTGGGGTAACTCTGCCAATGACAAACAGAAGGAAACTCACAACAAGTACACGAGAGTAGTTATTCATTAATTATGAATGTCATAAATTAAACGATTCAATATTTATTTATTCATTAACGATAGAGGAACTTCTAGACAGTATACAAACATTAACATGAATTTTGGTGATCTTCTGCCATCCACTTGCTAGAAATCCTTATCTCTTACCTAGGTTTCTCGCACCCTCACTCTCCCTCTCCCCTTCTTTTCCCTCTCCTCCCATTCTCTTTTCCACATACCCTCTTGCCCTCTACCTTTCTCTTCATTTTCCACTCTTTCGCTATCACCTCTTTCCTCTCCTTTTCCTACTCTCTTTTCCACCCCACCATCTTTCTCCCCCCCCCCTCTCTCTCCCTTTCCCCACTTTCCCTCTCTCTTGCCCTGGAAACCCACACCCACCTCTGTCTACACTGATCCAACGTGATCTAACGGCATCTGGGAATTTGTCTAGCCAGCAGGCTCACTGCTACCGGCTTACTCGCCCGATCCCCTTAACAGCCTATTGATTGGCCAGATTACTGTCCGCAGCAACAGGGAGCTTTACGTCGCGGTGTGGAAGAGAGGGAGGGGAAGCCTGACCCGTGATGAAGCCCTGCCAGAGTATTGATCGCGCTGCCGGCGCGGGCAGCATTAACGCCGGACGCTCGCGCCGCGCGACAAATGTTCGAGCTCCGTGCTCGCTAACGGCTGCGACCACTCTCGTTCGATTTCCCGTTTCGCGAGATGCGGGCGACTCGGAGGTGGGAGCGGGGAGAGTAGTTATCATTCCACGAGCAAGAACAACGGCGGCAGCAGCAGTAGCAGCAGTAGCACCAGCAATAGCAGCAGCAGCAGTAGCAGCAGTAATAGCAGCAGCAGCAACAGCAGCAGTAGCAGCAGCAACAGCAGCAGCAGCAGCAGCAGCAGCAGCAGTAGTAGCAACAGCAGCAACAGCAGCAGCGTGGATGCAGCCAATTCATATAACTTATAACTGTGCAAACTATACCTATCTAACGACTCCTGAAAGGCATTTAAGGGTGGCCTAGTACGCGACGCCTTCAGACACGTATGGCGGACAACATAAATATGCTTAATCACAGCGGTCTTGAGGCGAAATATTTTAGCTGGTGCACACGCCGACTCAGCAATCATGCGACAGTTGCCGATATTGACGTTACCTAACGGGTACCCATTACAATCAAACCTTCATATATAGCCCACTCATAAAAAAACACCCTAAATTAATACTTATTGTTTGTTTTACAGAGGCAACCAATAGCACACGTTTAACTTTGTTATAACAGACACTAAAGAAAACAATTAAAAAAAAAATTCTTTTGAGGTTGTAGATAATCATCAACTCTGTGTGTACACAGCTAGATAGGATACTCACATTCTGTATAAAGTTCTCCACCTTGCTCTGCAGTCCCCACCATTTGAATTCGATCGTTACTAGCTTGTAGCAGGTCATGACCGGGTCACAGTGATCTCGCCACCGCGGTCCTACCAGCGGACCACGCCCAGTCTTCACAGATTTAAATTTCGATGGATCCTCTTCTAGTTTGTAATCCTGGAAAAGCGAAGATAACGACAGAGTAAGGATGTGATTAATTTCAGGGTTGCCAAAAATCCGAGTTTTGAGTTCACGAGCGAGAATTTATCGTCAGCATGCACACAGAAAGCACTTAGTTCAGATTAATGTCTTTATTTCTATTTCTTTCGCTCTCCCTCTCCCTCCTGCCAATCTCTCTCTCTCTCTCTCTCTCTCTCTCTCTCGCACTGGTCTCCTATGTAGATATCATACCTTTGCCTGTACGGGATCATTGGCAATGTCAAGTACAACTACATGTCGCTTTTTTAGCTTGTCTGGTGAAAGCAAGTGTGCCTAGAAAATACGGTGATATGCTCATAACACTAACTGTATTAAATACAACCATTAGTCCATATCATACCACTAAGATATTTCTTTGTACTTTAGTAGATCATGTAAGGATAGCAATGGATCACATCCAAGAACAGAGCTTATAGACTAACATGATAATAGCTTTCCAATTGTTACTTGTGACTCCTCACAAACGAAATAGTTTTTCAGACAATTAGCAATATGGGAAAATACATGTTTTTAAATCAGCATTTAAATGAAATAGCAGTAACGATATGAGTAAATACGCCTCCCATACCAACTACTAGCCAGCACATCATTTTTTAAATAAATAGCTTACGTTTTCTTGTGTTCCAGTGTCTGGACAATGGATCGTCTCAATACAAACTTCAAAATTCTCCTTCATATAGTCAGGATTCTGTGTAAGTACCAGATATGCACATATTTTCATCGATGAAACAGCCCAATAGATTCTATAAAGCTTTTTAATTAATTATATTCGGAATACAGCCTTCACTGGGTTCGCAACCCAGAATCATTAATCTGTACGATTCTGACTCACGCTGCAGCCATTAAATATTCGTCTCCATCTGTTTGTTCACACGGGTGTGTGTAGGTACGTCTGTTTGTTCACACGGGTGTGTGTAGGTACCAGGGTTCTTGTTAATAGCCGGTAACCGGTTATTTTTACCGCCTATCGCGCAATTTGTTACCGGCTATCAATTTGAGAGAAACTCCCACTAAAGGCGGTAAAATATTTAATCCATATTTGAAAAAACAAAGTTTATTTTAAATACTTCCAACCCAAGACTAACTCTGTGCACGGGCACTTTCCTATCTAAACTACCAAATTCTAGAACCCATACCCATCAAAATAGGCTATTTGTGGGTCAAATCAGATTTATTTTTTTCGGGGGTGCATGCCCCCGGACCGTCCGTGCCGAAAAAACAGTTACCTGCTATTCATTGTCAAATTACCTGCTTTGTCAAAAGTTAACAAGAACCCTGAGGTACATACCGTGATGACAGTCTTGCAGTATGGGTAGGCATTCCATGCCTTCTCATGCATTTCTAACGCACCTTTAGGTGCTAGAATTCTAACAAATGCCGGCACTTTGCTGGGGAAAAACATCTTTCATTAGTTATCATGACGCACTGCAAAAACACTGTGATCGTTTTAGGTGCATGAACTCTTCCGACATTTGGAGCAGCAATGACTAATTTAACAAACCAAGTTTTTAATACAAGTCTAGACTTGCTAATGACTAGAAAGTGATATCATGACGATGGCATTCGCACAGTTACATTTACACTAACAACATATTACAACATTGGCAAATATTACCAGCAATAATTCATATAAAAAAACTGTTTAAACTACGATAGACACTTCACAGAATTAATCACTTCTAAATGTTTTCTTGCAAAATGCACATATAACTATGTATTAGGTATTTAAATAGTCAATTCATACTTACTTATATAGATGGTATATTTTATGTGTATACTGTCCGGAAGTGTATTTACCGCCGTAGAATGGGATCCCTTCAAAAGGCTCATTTTTTAACACCTCAATTCCCTCCCCACCACCCGTTTCGTTCTTACTAGCCTCAGCTACAGACCACAACTGTGCAACTTGGTACTGCAACAACCAAAAAGAATAGACTTATAAACTTACCAGCATTGTACCAGCATCGTATGAGCACAAATTTGCACAAATTGTAATAATTTGTCCACGATAAGTATTACATGTATAATGTAGCAAATATGTGTTATAAATACTTGACTTTTACATACGAGTCAACATACTGACACTATAAGTATAACAGTTTTTCACTTATTATTTTATACATACCTCTTCTACTGTTAGAGGAAGGGTGACTCGACTGAAAGGCGCAAATATAAAGCACAGGTTATTTATGAAATTGCAAACGTCTGAATATTCACATTACAAAAAAAAAAAAAAATCATTTTTTGCAGGGGGTTTCTTTGACCTTCTTTGAATAAAAAACAGATAATAACACAACTTGGATATCAAGTTTGAGTTGATGTGTAGTATTAACATGGTGGATTAGGGGTATGTATACCCACTGGGAAATTTGGAAATGTGAGTATGGTACTACTACTAATTCAAAATGGTACAACTGCCTGTTTGTTAGACTACATTATACAAATATCTGACATAAATTGTATAAAATATACAATAAATCTAAGGTAGAGCGATCCGCACGACACACACATCGTAACGGGGTAGAATGTGTCCCCTTCTGAGCCCTGCTACAGCCAAAATCGATCGGTCATAAGCAGATTGTAAAAGTCATACGCTAAAGCACAAATCAGTAGGGTTGGCAGGTATCTATCAAAAATAAAAATTGTTGACCACTGACATTACATTGCATTCTTTTGTTAAATTGTTGGTCCTTAACCTCGTAACGGTAACTCATCAGTCTAAAAATGACAAAACTTCATTGACTTAGACTAGCAAGCAGTTTTTAATTCCATTGGCCAGAATTTATTGATCTAGAAGTACGGTACAGTTCTGAAATCGCACAGGCAATATTATTAAGTTGGGCCCAACAATTCAGCGCCTATATTTATTTTTCAAATCACCATTTCTCACAATGATTAGGCCCAAGTAACATTTACACCCAAACAGGATTTTGAAGTTATTGGACACAGGCACTTGGAACATCTCAATAAAAAAAAAAGGTAAATAAACACAAAATGTATTTACTACCAGTCTTAATGTTTCTCTACTCTATTTCGCCTATAATCACCTGTAAATGCCAATCAAATGCTCATCTGCAACACACAAGTACACCGCACGCTAGCTGCTGCACACTGACACATAAATATATAGCAGGTAGGAAAGCATGCTGCCAAAATTCGCTCGCCGCTCGCTTGATTTTACACGAATACAACACAAACATTCAACCATTCTACTCCAACTTTGTTTCTATTTGAAGGGAAGTGTTCACTTGTTATAACAAGTGCCGAGGAGCGACAGCGCTCATCTAACGTCTACTGCGGTGATTCTGTGGTGGAGTGGTGGGATTCTAGTAAACCCTGTTAGTCCCAAATGTGTTCACATACGCACCGAAACAGTGGAAGGCACAGGGATGGTATCAGGAAGCTTCTCAAAGGAATGTTCGTTGGGATCGTTATGAAAGTTGCCGCGAGATGGC